CGGCAGTTATTATTTTATAATGCATCGTGTTTCATTTGTTTAATTTTCCAAGGCCTACCTAAAAGTGTAGGGTGTTTTCCAAACAATCTTTCGCGCCATCGACAAATACCGGAAATACGTCAAAAGTACCTAAATTTAAGATACAATTTAAGCATTTTTATTAATTAATTAATTAATCTCATTTTCCAAATATTGGAGGTTAGGAACGAGATTTTGAAAAACGGTTTTCAATGGCCTCTTCGGATGTCATTTGGCTACTTTTTCATAATAGAAAAAGTAATATCATTCCATTTGATTTTTTTGACTTTTTTAGGATTTTGAATCATGGTGCAAAACTAGCCCCCTGGCGGAGAAGGATTCAACTGAATTAACCATATTTTTGATGGTTGATTCTTGTTGCCCAAGGAATGCTCTTTTCAACGATACCATTTTGTTACAATCGGTCAAACGGTTAAGAAGTTAAAGCAGGTTATTGCAAAAACAATTGAACGCCCTACGCCATCTTTGTTTTTGAAATAACTGAGTTTTTGTTTTGACGAAAATGATAGATAAACTGGTGCTCTTTAAAAATGTGAAAAAGAATGTTTAGTTTATTATGCGAACAGACAGAAAATGCAATTTTAAAATTTAAGATGGCAGTTACGCCCTCTGGTGGTCATTTTTAGAACTTCAAAATATTTTCCAGCGATTCTTCGTAACCGATTTACCCAATAATTTTTTTACCCCTAAGTCATACGACGAGCGGTTCCCGAGATATGGCCGAGGAACACAGTTTTTATTGGGTCACCCGGTACAACGAACCGGCAGCTACGAAGACGAGAGCGGGCTACGCGCAGATGAGCAATTTACAGCATGTAGGAGGAGCCAGTGTGGATTAGTGGCGCGTCAATAGGGGGGGCAATTAATAGTGTGGATGACTCATCTCTCGCCTTCCTACATGCCGGTACCATTACCTACATGGAACATCTCGAATCTTGAACAATCTTGAAGATGGATAACATTGGATCTTGAAAACCTGAACTAGTAAATACTTGCAGCCTTAAGAACAATGCATTTTGGACCTTGGATTTTGAACTCTTTAGCCTCTGAAGAACTTTGCAGCTCAATATCTTCAAGCCTTAAACATCTCTATAATCTCGAACCTCCATTAGACCTTGAACCTTGAAACGTTGAGAAATTCGAATCTTGAGAAGATTGACTTTTGAAAATCCCGAACCTGGAAACTGAATCTTTAGTGAAGAAAACTTTGATTCTTATTGAATCTGGAGTGTTGAGAATCTTGACCTATTGACATTTGAATGTTGAGAATCTTGAGAGCCTTACCTATATCATAGGGATCTTGAACTTTTTTTATACAATTTGGGAATCTTGTCCTTAAAGACCCTCAACCTTTTAAGAACTACGAAAATTAAGGGTTCCCTATGTAATTCATTATCATTTGTACGTAGTTAAACCGTGCGAATTTTTAACAATATTGCCAATTTGTACTAAAAACTAACGTGCCGATCTATAACCAGCTCCAGTTCCTCAGTAAAGGGGATATATTTCGTTCTCCCTATCAACTCGGTCACCATATTATGCAACGCTGTGCATTCAGAAAAGGTCCCCTTCAACTACAAACTGGAGATTGGGAAAATCAGTAATTTCAAGAATAGTGTACACATACGTCTTTATAAGGTAATTTTTATATTCAATGCAGATCGTAGCATTTAAGGATTTTGTTTAGTAAACATTTGAGTTGTTTGAACGGATAATTGTAAATAAAATTCGTCCAGGGACCCTGTTAGCACAGTTTTCCACTTTCAATATTAAATAACGAAAGTCTTCTAGCTGAGTCGAATATGTAAATTATAAATTTTCAAGTGTTTGGTAAAGAGGAAACTGATATTAGGTGTTCAAATTTTGTCATTGATGCTAGTAGTAGCTTATTGTTCATGAATACCTAAACAATGGTCGTAGTTAATAGCAAGAGTAGGCACGTATCACTTCGGAAAATTTTGGAAACCGGATTCTTTCAATGAATCTAAGATTTATTTGTCTGAAGGTTGAGATCAACGATTGATCCGATTTTCAATATACAAAAATGATAAAATCAAGGGTAAAAGAGGCGTGAAAGAATCGCGAGAAGACGAGAACTATGAGCGCAATTTTTAGGAGAGGAAAGCGATTTGCGTCATCTGAGGAGCACGAACTTGGATTACGTTTAGCATCATGTCTTGAATGGCGGTCGTAAACGCGTCGCTCCATAAATGTTGTTATTTTGGGGTTTTTTAATGCAGGTAGTAATTTTTGCATTTCTTTATACGTATTTGTGTTTTGTATGCCGCATTTTATACTTTTTGTGTGTTTCAATCTTTCTTTTTGAAATTTACTTGGTTTAACCGCAATGCAGAATGAAATGTTTAATACCGTTATCCTTTTGTTTGTAATTGTTTACGTTTTTGGTGTAATGTTTGCTTAATTTATGTTTATTGATGTTGATTACTTGGTCTTGTCTTCATATAAGTTTTGATCATTTTACTTTAATATGTGGAAATTACAGATTCGTTTGTTGTATGTACGGACTTGATGTTTGTAACTAACATTTTTTCCGTGAAGAAAGCAGTCACGAGGATGGTAAAAACTGTAGTCAAAATTGAGCTACGACACTTAATTCCGTGATTGTCTTCGACTTTCAACTGTAGGCTCGAAATCCCGAAACCAGGGGCGGGTTACCTATCTTGCAGGAGCGGGATTACGCTAATCAAAGCTCTTCAGTTTAGAATCTATGTGCGATAAATGAGTTACGATTCGTAATTTCCACATATCTTGTTTTTAGTTAAATTTGCCTACAAGACCATGTAATTTTCCATCTTGCTTTTAACAAAAGGACTTTATTGCACCAAAGATGAGTCACATCCTGTGTATTTCAATACCCTTTCTTACAATCTTGGTACCTGCTTACTTGACCCATAATTCCCAAAACTTGTTTTTAAGCTATTATATTAATTTGACGGTTGGTTTTTTTATTGGTAAGTTCTTTTTTTCCCAATCTATTTCTATTTTTATTCGGTGAACTACCATTTTCAAAGTTTATTTTTCCGAGCTTTTACAATCATAATAATAAATAGGTAATAATAAATTAATTAATCATTATTAAACAAGCTTGTCACAATTTCGGTGTTTTTTTACGTTCCTTCCCTACTGTGCTTCAGGTGATAGCGTTGTTTACAACTAACGTAGGGGGGCCCTGCCTTAGATGTTTGATCACGTGCCACTTTTCAAATTTAAGCGCGATCTTGTTTAGTTTTGGAGGGAATAGTCATTCGGGTGGCTATATTTAAACGTTGCCGAGTTGACTTTATTTTCGTGTTCTTGTAGTGTGAAGTTAGCGTAGAACCTGGGAGTTAAGTACTCCACAAAGTGCAAAACCTTTTGGTTAGTGACGATGAAAACAAGTTTATGAACCAAATTTGTGCGTTTCTATTGTTTATACTGAGGGATAATAAAATTCTGGATTAAACGGCAACCGTTAAAAAGTTTACAGACGATTAATTGGTGCTTGTGTTTTAATTAGAACCCTACTTACACAAAGGGAAATGGAAAATTCACTTTTCCATCCTGCGGAACATTTTTAAATTATTCCCGTGAGTAATTATGAAATTTCGAGAATCCTGAAGCCCAGTTTGTTCCCGATTCAATTTATCAACAATATCTCTCAATATCCAAACCATAACGAGCAGTCAAATTTTTACAAAATGGTTCAATTGTATTGCCCAAGGGGTTCCACCATCCAATTTTCCGAATTTCTCCTTTGAAAAGGAGAAAATCGACTGTGAATTGAAGAAAGTTCCAATGCATCGATAAATTAAGTTATTTACATTTTTGCGTTGTGTGAAAAAAGGAGTGGATCGTTTTGGGGATTTTGTATATAAATATATGCTCAAAATTGATTTAATATTCCTGTAGGAGTCGACCCACGGAAGTTTATTCCGTGAACGAATCTTTTTTTATGAATGATAACGCAAACAAATGAAACGTGAAAGAAGCCTCTGGAAGCTCTTGCAAAGACGCGCTCTATGCCTTCTTCAAAATCTTGTCGGTTCGCCTAGCTGCCGCAAGATATTAGAAAGTTTTCAGACCAGGAATGGACACTCGCAAACCTCTGGAAAGCCCTTAAGAGATTTGGGAAAGCGCAATCCAGACTATTTCACGATGTTTTTAGGTCCATTCAAGCATTTTATGTGTCATGTATCTAGAAATTTCTATATGATTTAACTAGAACTTATAGATACCTACTCCTTAGAACCTTCTAAAACATTCAAAGGCTTTCCAGAGCATTCGAAAGATTTTCCGGAACAATAGATGGCTCTCCTAAGGCATCTTCCTAGGCCCCTTTTTAGATTTATGTTAGGATTTTGTTTTCGCCTTTCAGAGCTTTATAGGCTTTTGAACCTTCCAGTCCCTAATTTTTCCTGATCATTTTTAAAGTAAAATCATACAGGTGTAAAGTGAAAATGAGAAATGACCATAAGGGAAAGTGTAATAAAGGCGTTCAACTAAAAATCGTTTTACAAAAAATGGTGATTTTTCATTTGATCTCAGAGAAAGCTTCGCTTGACAAAACACCAAAATGTTATATGATAACCGCGGAAAAACGTATTCAACAATATTTGGTCTGAAAAACTTACTGACATTCATCGTAACTTGTTCTTCACAAAGCACACTCACAATAAAATGGACCAACAGAAATAGCATCACCACATCCATATCCTTACACAGTCAAAGCAGCAGTAAAAGTTTACAATATGAAATCTGTGAACTTATAACACGAAGGCTTGAATTATTAATCACGCATCCACTCCGTTATTCACAACCACGGTATTGTCAAGAGCGAAATTATATCATTTAACTACAGAAATTGATTTCTAGTCGGAACGCAAACGATTTGATTTCTCCATCAATTATGCATCCACGTTGATTACCTACCTTTTACGGTAATAGACCTCAATTTACCCTTCAATTTTTTACAATATCAATTTTATTGCATTTAAAATTAATTGTATCCACTTAAGTAGGCTTTGGGACAAGGTATTTTATAAAAATAATATAAAACTAAATGCTATCGTTGTTTATAAATAAACGCCGACGCTCGTTTACTGGACGAGATGTGGATGCTGTTTGTTCGCCTTCAAGCTCTTCTTCGCCCACTTCTCCTGTTTCGCGTACTTCTCGCGCGTCGTGTCGCGCTGGTAGATCTTCTTCGTCGGAACCTTGTGCTTGTCGGATTTCTTTCCCGTTTTTCCGTTGCGTTCGGAGTGCTTTCCTGCCTGAAATAATAAGTTGCAGTAATTAATAATAAAGCAATAAAAAAAAGGGTAGAAAGATTAACAGCCACCTTTTAGTGCAATAGGGGGTATGGAGTCAGAGATCAGAGTAGGCCATATTATAATAAATTCGCTGGTTCCGTTTCAGATTTTGTGGTGGGCCAATCTCATTGGTCATTACATCCGCTTCGTAAACATACAAACTATTGCTTTCAGTTGATTTACTCAGCTTCTGGACTCACAATTCAACTTCCAGCAACTTATCCAGTAAAACTTTCAATAAGATGTAAGACCACCGTAACGTTAAATAAGGAGATGTTTTCCCTTCCTTATTTAATATATTTTTACTTTCTAGGAATTCATTTTCCAAAATTGCTTATCTGTCAATGTTCAGCCATGTTTAAATTTGCAACCTATTCCCCTTTGAGAAAAGTTCGCGTCCCCCGACTCGTTTAGAATAGGCAGATGTTAGACTACGACACAAGACAACTCTGGTTTCGAATCCCTATTCAGGCATTTGATTTTTGCAAGTGGAGTGAATTGGTAAACATGAGCGTTTATGAGCCTTTGAGATTGTCCTGTGGCGGTCATCAAGACACAATTTTTTGTAGCATTTAATATCATTAAGAACCGTTTAGTGGTATTGGGTCTTTTGCGTTGTGCCTTTTAGGTTTTAAAAGCCTTTCAAGAGGCTTCAATAACCTCAAATATTTTCAAGAGCGATCAGGAGGCGACTGTAATCTTAGAAGCCTTTATTAGTCCTTTAGAGTATTTAAAGATTTTATGAATCTTTAAGCGTCTTTAGACGTTTTATTGATCTTTAACGGCATTTAAAAGCCATCATCGCACGCTATTTCTTTGCAAAAGCCTTCAATCATTCATTAAATATGTTGATTTTGTTTAAATAATCACTTTGATTATTTTAATTTGTAATTGTATAGTGTGTGTTAAGAGATTTGATTTTAATCATTTGGAAGTAATTGCGTTATAGCAAAAGTTTATCTCCGGTCAATGCGATAAGAGTTCCTTATCGCTGCGAGATTGTGAGTAGCAGAGTTTAATTGAGCTAGCTGAACAGGTGTTTGTACGAGTGGTTTAGTCCCTTAAGATCTGCTACAGATCTACACTTGTAACGTTTGTCTTTTCCAGTTTCGAATTTATATTCCGTTTGTGCAGTGACTTTATAGAGACAGTGTCGACAATAGGAGCCCAGCCGCCGTGTTGCATCGAAAATTCCAATGAGAAGTATACTCGATGCAACATGGTCGCCGATCCCACCAACCAATCAAAAATTACCCCACCACTGTCTATAAAGTCACTGTATCCGTTTGCTACCCGCTACGCCTCTGTGTATTTCTAGTGCAAGTTCGTTGTGGTTAGATAAATTTTGTCGATGTTATTTCGTAGTTTTTCATTCTGCCGCTAGAGGTCATCCGAATGTATCTGTCTGTACAGTGACTTTAGAGACAGTGGCGGGTGTCTAATTTTTGATTGGTTGTTGAGATCACATGTCATACGTGTATTGTGTGTTGCCTAGAGCTAATTCGAATTTTCGATGCTGAGCTCCTTCTATTCTCGCCACTGCCTCTATAAACTCACTGTACCTTTCCGTATTTTTCCTTGGTCCATCGCGTGCGCGTTGTTCTTCGTTCTTTTCGATGGTGGTCAATTCTGTTTACAAAATTTGCTCTTTACCAGGAGTGGTAACCATAGCGACGGATGAACTACATTTGCGTACTGTTTTTAAATTCTTGGAACTTTTCTAAATTTTTTGTATCTTTCCACAAATTTTTGAGTGATATAGAATTTTGCCGTATTTTCCAAATATTTCTAAATTTTCAAATTCAGCTGAACTTGTTTGAATGTTTATGAATTTCTCTTACGATTTTTTTTAAATTTTTGAATTTTTACCATTTTTTGTTCAAGATGTTTTTTATCTCTCCAAGAACTTTCCGAAAATTTTGGACACCCCCTCTGCGAACAGAACAGATAAAAAACTGCGAATATTTACCGTGTGCTTTCCATGCCCATTTTTGGTGTAGTGAATGTCATGAAATTTATGATTTTTTCCTCCGTACACGTGATATTCGCCCGATTTGTGACCGTTGCTGTAAAACGCGTCGTGTTTATTGTGCTCGTCCTTGTGGTACTGTTCCCTGAACGCCTGGAAAAAATGAACATCATGATAAACTATGTTTAGATTCTTCATCCAAGAAAATGGGCTCAATTTTTACTTTTATTAAATACTAGCAGACCCGGCGAACTTCGTGACGCCTTGGGGAAATCTCGTCTCCATGGATGGGACGTACGCTCGGGTTCGGCGACTGCGCCGCCTCTCCTCGCCCACCCGCCGATCTTCATACCCCCGTTTAGGGCTACGTCGTCTTGCTGAAGATAAAAAGTTTGTTGTAGCCCCCCCCCCCCTCACCCCGACAAAACACATTTTGATCATCATAAAGCTAAAGTTTGTGCTATATCTAGAACAATCGACTGTGTAAGGGCTTCCTAAAGTAACGGATGATGACGACTGTTAGTACCCGAAGTCCCAATAAATAAATTATTATTTATATTAAAATATTATAATCCACGTGTTTGAATGCAATTCAATACTTGATCACGTGATCTGCAGTAAACTGTTGCGAAACCAACTTGATCTTTTTTTGGTGCGAAACAGTGCTCCGTGTTGTTTTACAATCTGATTATGTTGTGAGAGTTTTTTGAAAACAAGCACTTACTTTACAAATTACGTAAATATTGCGAAGGTTGTGAATTCAAGGTAACTGTAAACTTTAGCGTTCGAACAATAACGCCACAAATATTTCCATTAACGGAAGAATCTGCGCATAATCTGGATGATCACTCTAAAAGAACTAATGGATCGAAGAAGTTTGAAGAATTCAGAAGATTTGAGGAGCTTGCAAAATCAAAAAATTAGATTGGAATACTTAAATGAAAGAATACGAAAAATATGAAACCGAAATGATTTTGAATAGAACAATCTGATCAATTTGCTTAAAAGAAGTCAAGTCAACCACCTGTAAATTACTGTAGGGTGTGTTTTTCTTTTGTGAAAACAACACTCGCGCTTAGAAGTGACACAGAGTTAAGGTACCTACATGTAATTTAGCGCCGGGTGAATATTGTTTATGTAGGATTAAAGAGCTCGTACTGGTACAAGACAAGAAAATTAGCGAAGGGTGGTTTTATATTTTGGTGTCGGACTCTAATAATAGACAAAATTTCATGCAAATACATTAACCACAGGCAAAACAAATGCGTTTAAACGCGGGAATTAAGGTTTTGGTGGCCCTCAATTACAAGGGATTATTTGCGAATTAAAAACTATCACGGTAAATACGAAAATAGTGGAAGTTTTAAACGGGCTCTGTAACCCTAATAACTCAATAAGAATGATATTCTTCTATACATCTAGGTTGGCTTAGGGACTTCATTTTGAATGACGGTAAACTTGAACTGCCAATCAAAGGTCGATTTTCCTTGTCATTAGTTGGATCCATGATACAATGGATCAAGCAATTGGATCAATCCGTGTTTTGAGATTGAACGAGCAAGCACTAATATTGCTGTATAATTAATGTAACTAATTTATTGTATTCAAAACAGTACGAAACTGACTACTTTAGGGATGTTGCAATTTTATTTGTTTATCAGTGAAATAGTAAGGGACAACTCATAGATTCGATCATTTAATGTAACCGGTTTAGAAAATCAAAAGGAAATTAAATTGTGTGGACCCATCTTGAAGAAAGTAAATTTTCCAATGATAATCCTTCCATTTATTATTAATACTGTAATTGCTAGTAAAGGTAATAGTGGCCGTTTATATTATTCGGTCACTTTCACCAATTTGACCTAAAATAAACATTACTCTTTGTTATTGTCACAAATGTCAGTAGATTAATGCTAACTTTTATCTGTAATACACAGCGTGGAAATTTTGTGTGGAACACTAAATATAATATTGTGTAAATTACGTCATGAAAACATTATTTTAGCCTTTAGGGCATTCTGTATGTGCTTTATTTTCAATATTTTAAATGCAAATCTGGTTATTTACGAATAAACACAAAGTTGGTTTATTTTATTTGAATATGTATCTCAGTGTTCGATTTTCCTTTTAGAAATGTTTGGAAATAAATAATTCTAGAAGTAGAAGTAAGGAACATCTGGTCGTTGCGATAAGAAGTTTTATTGTTAGGCGAAATTTAATGAACCCAATTTCGCTGATAAAGAGATACATATTTTATGAAGAATTGCGCGTTTCATGTGGAGTTTGGGTATTTTAAATTTCTCTAGAGTGAGAAAAGTAGGTAGCGCGAATGTGTTGCGAGTAAAACAGAGTTATAGGGTTATACGTGACCGTTTTTGATGAGTTTCATGAAGCACTCTGAGAAACGCTGACGCTAAGGTTTCTGGCAACTGCTATTCTAAATATGGGATTGGGGAATGGAGATGAAGTGTATTAGTTGAAACCGATTAGAAACCATTTTGAAGGTGTATTTGTAAAATAAAAAAAAAGTGGAGGTTAAATCTGGAGAGGTTTTCGGAGGGAATGATGGGTTTGGCCAAGATGGCGCCAAATTAAGCATTATGCGACGGCGCGAAAAATTCTAAGTGCAACGAGAAGAGTAAAATTCTCAAGGTACAGAGGAGATCGCATTAATAATCAAAAAGAACAAAAGTCGCGACAAACTGCGAGTATCCTAAGGTCTCCCCCCTAAGTTTGGATTGGCAACTCGGACGTGCGGAATCTAAAATTGGTGTAGCCCAAAAATTGTAAACTTGCAAAACTTCAAGGTTAAGTTAAAGCCTGATGCTCAAAATCTGAAATTTGAAGTCACAACTTAACACTACAAATCTGGGGCTTAAACTTAGTTTGGATTTTGGAGTGGGGGGGGGGTCTCAACGAAAGGTATTAATGTTTACCACCAATCATAGTCCTTCTGATGGGGGTGTAGGAGGAGAGTACCAACAAAGGGCGATTGGGACGTGTAAAAGAAGCATCTACTGGTGTTTAAGAGCGAATATCTCGAATGTGTCGAAGGATAGTACTCACAATACACACAAACCGCCCCGTAATCAGGACGAATGCAGAGAATTTCGATGTCTGTAAAACTGTAAAATATGGTAATTGCGTCTTTCTTATAGTTGTGTATTAAATCCATTACCGTGAATTTAAGGGTCAAAATAAAATTTTAAATAGTTCAAATAAAACCTCCACGGCTAATTTTCAACAGTGAGTAACTTGTTGTTGGGTTCATGAATTCTAGTATAAGTTTGCCAGTTGTGTTTCAAATAATAGGTAAAATTTGGTATTGTTTATCCAGAAATTATACAGTTCCTTCTGAAAGCGATTCTGGTATATACCTTTTTTTTGCAATCCGACAAAATGTGTACATTGTAACATTACCTATAATTACTTAAAGAAATTCAGCATTTCCACCGAAGCGGAGAATGGTTTGTTATTAAAATTAGTAAAAAACTAATTAGAGCAGAAAATGGCGCTCTCCGAACCGGATCTTTCCTCGTAAAAAGAGATTAACAGATATTTACCTGTATATTAAAGTACTCTCATTTATACTAATTAGACAATTTGCAATTAATTTTTTTCTTGTTTCTGAAACGCAGACATTTCCTGCTGTAATCCGGCATATTATAACGAAATAAAAAAGAACAAACCTTGCTGTAATGAGTTTTTTTGTCTTTGGCGGCTTGCTTGTGTTTCGCGCCGTGCTCGGAACCGCCGGACAACTTCTTATGGCTCTGCCGGTAATTTCCGTCCGAGTGTTCCGTTTTTTTCCCGCCACTTTCGTTGTCGTGCGTCTTGTGCGCTAGCGTCACTTTCTCTCCCTTATGCGACTTCTCGCTGTCATGGTGTTGATTATGTCCGGCGGTTTTCACGTGCTTGTGGGCGATTGCGTCTGAAAAAAGGGAACGGAATTAGTGTTACGCGATGTAAACTTTTGAGCTCGGTTTCGTTTTGGTAATTTTCGACACCAAACGAAAGTACCGAAAGTTTGCGGTTGAAATCGCTCGCTATAAGGGGAGGTGTCGTACAAAAACTAGCCTCTTGTAATAGATGGTTAGAGAAAAAAACCAATTTGTTAGAGCTGAAGGATTTTGCTCCGCGGACTCCATTTCAAGGTTCAAGGCCTCGGTCTGACCAGAATGCGTTCAAGAACGTTTATGTAACATGCAAACAATAACACAATCTCACCTTTTTTCTCATTATCTTCCTTATGAGAGTTGTGCTCGGCCTGGTGGTGCTGCTCCAACGCCGGCGCGTGATTTGCTAAACTTAGATTTACGACCTCCAGGAGGACTACGGCCAACTGTAACAATAAATAAGCAAAATCAACACAAAGACGCCACAATTAGTACAACATGCATTGAATGTACGTTCCATGTACGTTCGATTTCGATCACAGTTTAATATCATAAATTACTTAGAATGGTTCTGGATATTATATTCTAAACATCAACAACACTATAATTAAGAGCAATAAAGACGCGATCTTCCATTTAGTGAACGAATAAACCGATACAACGAAATATCGAAGGATCCTCAGTATTACAATCACTTTTAACGACAATTTATTTTAATCTTACAAAATACATTTTATAGTTAACAAAAATGCATCAAATTCATGTCTTGGGCTTTGAGATAATGCTCTTGGTTTTTTTCTCAACGATCTTGGTGCATAAATAACGATTTTGACATGTTTTGATCAAAATCCATGTGGTCCATAAAAATAGATCAAATTCATGTTTAGATCATTGAGATAATGCTCTTGATCTTTTTTCCAACGATCTTGGTGCACAAATAACGATTTTGACATGTTTTGATCAAAATCCACGTTTTCGCCAAAAATTCATCAAATTCATGTCTTGGGCATTGAGATAATGCGCTTAGTCTTTTTCCCAACGCTCTTGGTGCATAAATAACGATTTTGACATGTTTTGATCAAAATCCCCGTGGTCGCCAAAAATGCATCAAATTCATGTCTTGGGCATTGAGATAATGCGCGTAGTCTTTTTCCCAACGATCTTGGTGCATAATTAACGATTTTGACATATTTTGATTAAAATCCATGTGGCCTCAGAAAAATAATTTAACATTTTTGAATCACACACATGCGGTTATCAAACGTGCACGTTATCAACTCTTTCAGCATCAAGATAATGCGTTTGAAAACTTTTACAACTCTAAATTCATGTGTAAAGAATAATTTTGGGTACATTTTGCTCTAAAACTTTTGACCGAGACCACAGAGAAGAGTTATATTGAATCGTTACACATCTAAGAGTCATAGGGAATAATCTAGCGAAAGTCCGAACTCGATACATGACCTAGGGAATGAAATATGTTAATTTTTATTATATTGAGTTCGCAGTTTTTCCTGTCCCCGATTCACTCGAAGTCGTATAACTTTTGTTCCTGTTGAACCAGCTTCCTGAAAATCAATAGCGTCCGTTCTTAATGTCCAACGTACCCGTATACCAAATTTCAACACAATCGGCCACTTTTAAAAAGAGTTAGAGCGCACACGGACGGACGGACGGACGGACGGACGGACGACAATACAAAACTATAAAGGATCTGAGGATCCTTAATAAATTACACTGGTAGCAATCTGCAGCCAAAACCAAAATTTTTGGGATGGGAATGAATACATACATATATGTACCTATGTACATTAAATGTACGTCCACTAAGTACAACCTTGTATCAAATTGAGTATTTCAATATTATGTCCATTACTTATATAGGTACTACCACAGACACTACGTACATAGTAAATTAAAGAGATGGAATGCAAATTGTTCGTGTATCAGTGGCGTAACTACAATGTCTCAAAGTTACGCAATGAGGACGGGCCCCGACTTAAAAGGGGCCCCGGCAAAAATGTACAAAAAATGAAATTTTTATATAAAAAATACTGAAAAAAATTGAAAATTTCCCGAACTCCTTCAATGTTACGCTTGTGTTAATTATTAAGGATCCTCAGATCCTTTATAGTTTTGTATTGTCGTCCGTCCGTCCGTCCGTCCGTCCGTCCGTCCGTCCGTCCCTGTGCGCTCTAACTCTTTTTAAAAGTGGCCGATTGAGTTGAAATTTGGTGTACGGGTTCTTTGGACATTAAGGACGGGCGCTATTGATTTTCAGGAAGCTGGTTCAATAGGAACAAAAGTTATAGGACTTCGAGTGAATCGGGAACAGGAAAAACTACGGGCTCAATATAATAGACGAGATAATAGAAATCAACATATTTCATTCCCTAGGTCATGTATCGGGTTGGGACTTCCGCTAGATTATTCCCTATGACTCTTAGATGTGTAATACTTTAATATAACTCTTCTCTGTGGTATAAGGTCGAAAGTTTTAGAGCAAAATGTAGCAAAAATTACACTTTATACTTGAATTTAGAGTTTTAAAAGGTTTCAAACGCATTATCTTGATGCAGCAAGAGTACATCACGTGCACATTTGATAACCGCATGTGTGTGATTCAAAAATGTTAAATTATTGCCATATGGGTTTTGATCAAAATAATCAAAATCGTTATTTATGCACCAAGATCGTCGAGAATAAGACTAGGGGCATTATCTCAATGCTCAAGACATAAATTTGATGCATTTCTGGCGACCACATGGATTTTGATCAAAACATGTCAAAATCGTTATTTATTCACCAAGATCGTTGGGAAAAAGACTAAGAGCATCATCTCAATGACCAAAACATGAATTTGATCTATTTTTGGCGACCACATGAATTTTGATCAAAACATCTCCAAATTGTTATTTATGCACCAAGAACGTTGGGAAAAAGACCAAGAGCATTATCTCAATGATCAAAACATGAATTTGATCTATTTTTGGCGACCACATGGATTTTGATCAAAACAAGATTAAAAGCATTATCTCAATGGCCAAGACATGAATTTGATGTATTTTGTAACATTAAAATAAATTATCGTTAAAAGTTATTGTAATACTGAGGATCCTTCGATATTTCGTTGTATCGGTTTATTTACATAGTTTGCGTTACTAAAGGAACAGATAACATTGTTCACAGGCGGTAAATAGGTACCTATAGGTGAAAAATCCGGACCAATATCTACAATATAAAAAAATTAACAATCCGAGGAAGTAACTATTGAATTTAAATCATCATATCATATCATTTAAATCTGACCTTAATTTAATACGAAATTTGATATGCTCAAAAGTAGCCAGCTAAAAGAGATTTAAAAGCAACGCCATCCGTTTCCCATTTGTGAAACATAAAATTCCGAAGTCTCTTACATAAAGTACCTTCATGAAACACTTTGCTAATTAGCGGGACCTTCTGCAGTCCAGAAGATATCTGAAGGTGCTGAATACGGTAACCTTAAACTGAACTTGTATTTCGAGATGAATGCGACTAAGTACTTTTAAAACACTCTAGCATTTACCTCTGCATGGACGAAACAGTTACCGTCATTCAAAAAAGGCGGATTCATACACAAAGAATAGAAATCGCTAATCAAACTTAATAACTAAATGAGTTTAAATGTATCTCCAGCGGTGTCTGTAGATACGCCACCTGTACTTGTCGTTTGAAATTTTGAAAGCAGACATCTCAGAATGGACGAAAATACCATAGTGGAACCTCCAAGAGAAAAGCAAAAAACGAACGTTGAACAGCGAATAAATAAGTTCAGAGTTAAGCAACGTCGGAAGATCGATATGAGGGTGATATCTTTATTAAAGAATCCAAATCTTCTGGAGTGTATTTCTAGTGAACTTTCATTTATATATTTTTAAGATGGTTGTCATTAGAAATCCAAGCGGTTATATTAAGCGTAAGGGAAAGGGCCCCCAAATATTTTTGAGGACGGGCCTTTAAAATGAAGTTACGCCACTGTCGTGTATGTATGTACATCTAGTGTACATAGTGTACGTGCACTAGAATTACTACCCGGTGACAAAGTGGATACGTCCACATTATCAACACAATGTGCAACTTACTCACACCACTTTCCGTTAACGTACATCGTATGTACATCCATGGTGCATGTATAAAAATCGCAACACCACAAGATCAGTTCAAGGTTTAAGATTTAAGGTTTGTGGTTAGAGGTCCAAGCTTATCTGTTCGGAGCTCGAGATCTCCAGGATTCAAGATTTTTCAAGTTCCAGAGCATGCAGGATTAAGATGCAAGACTTAAGATCCTGAGAATTCATGGTTCTGAAGATTCAAGACCTTCAAGTCTTAGATCCCTCTATCCTGAAGACTTAAAATTTGAAAGAGATTCATTAGATTCGAAATGTAAGGTAAAGTTATAGAGGTCAACATGATTCAAGGTTCAAATTTCAAGGTTAATTTCAATATCCAACCCGCAGAGTAGAAGGTCTAAGGTTGAAGTTTAACTATCAGAACTCAATACAGAATTCAGAACTACGGATTTCAAGGTTCGAGAAACGTATGACTCAGTGTTGCCAAGATGAAGGATCCAAAATTGGAGATTGCCAGAATTCAGGATTGACGACTAAAAATTTGAAATAAGTTAAATTTTGTTGTTGTCAAGATGCAAGACTCAACATTCTTAGGATCCAAGATTTTCAAGATTCTCAAAATTCAATATTCTCAAGATTCAAGATTCTCAAAATTCAAGATTTTCAAGGTTCTCAAGATTCAAGATTCTCAAAATTCAAGATTCTCGAGATGAAAGATTCTGAAGATTCAAGATTCTCAAGATTCAAGATTCTCAAGATACAAGATTCCAGATTCTCAAAATTCGAGATTCTCAAGATGAAAGATTTTCAAGAGTCAAGATTCTCAAGATTCAAGATTCTCAAAATTCAAGATTCTTAAAATTCAAGACTCTCAAAATTCAAGATTCTCATAATTCAAGATTCTCGAGATGGAAAGATTCTCAAGGCTCTATTCTCATGAAGGCTTAAAATTTTAGGTTCAAGATTCTCAAAATTCAAGATTCTCGAGAGGAAAGATTCTGAAGATTCAAGATTCTCAAGATTCAAGATTCTCAAAATTCAAGATTCTCAAGATATAAGATTCCAGATTCTCAAAATTGGAGATTCTCAAGATGAAAGATTTTCAAGACTCAAGGTTCTCAAGATTCAAGATTCTCAAAATTCAAGATTCTCGAGATGGAAAGATTCTCAAGGTTCTATTCTCATGAAGGCTTAAAATTTTAGGTTCAAGATTCAAAATTCAAAGATTTCAAGTGTAAAACACAGTAGACCTAAGTTAACGATTCTGAACTTCCACATTCAAAATTCAGGATTCATAGTTCAAAAGCAGGATTCAGATCGGATGGAGTTGCCAA